ATTTATATTTATATATATACCCATTTTGCTTCAGATTTAAGGGGATACGGTTGAGAACAGGTTCTGAGTGGAATACACATAGATATTACCAAACAGTATGAGAGTTGATTATTAACTGAGCCTTGCATTCTCTTCTGTCAAGTTGTTGGTCTTCATTGATTTAATTTTAATTTCAGTGATGGAGCTACTAACATTGGAATGAAATTTGGGGACGGCAAGGAATGAAACCATTTCATTCCATTCATTACAATTAGAACTGTCCAAACAGTCCCTTCCAAATATTTTATTGAATTGTGTTGAAGATTCCAAGGTTCTTCTCAATCGGAGTTCCTTTTATCTTGTTATTTGGAAAACAGAATTTTGATAATATTTAATATATATGTATATAATTTAAATATTTATATAACAAACGATGTGTAATATATTTATTTATTTATACATATATATCAAAGTTCCCAAAATTATATTGTACAAATATAATTAATTATATATACTAAGCATATATATATATATTTACAAGCAGGTAACGGTCGCCACGTATCTATACATATTTCCTCTATAGCGTTGCGATCAAATTTCACACTCACATTCAATTCGCACTGTGAGATGCTGACATTTGAACAAAATTCAATCGTGTTTAAACAAAATATACAAAAATTACAATTACTAATTACAAAAAAAATATTATATCGAAGGAGGAAATGGATATTATATTATATCTGCAATTAGTTTACTGTTTTATCGATATCATTAAAACGATAGTAGCTATCAAGTATTTGACGCAAAGCTAACATACGTATGCATGCCATTCGGCGGCCTACAACAGATAATTCTCCAATGCATAGTTCCTGTAAAGATAGGGATAGATCATCAATTTGTTCATGATCAAGAATATTTGTATATAATCTGGCACGTTTTCTTCTACCTGTTGCATGCAGCTAACAAAGAAATTCGCATTTGCATTTGCATTTCAATGGGCTCAGATCTGGTGACCATATAGTTTCAGCCATGCGTTGCCTATATATACCAGAATATATTTAAAGCTTCAATTCGCTAGCGTCTTAGGAATATATTGATATTCCTTACACGCGAGGGACGAACACTGCAGAAAATAAATAAAGAAACTCTTTTCATTTCCGGAAATAAAAATATAATTTATTCGGCCACAAATCGTAAATATAGTATATGTGCTCTTCCTTTTTCTTAAAATAGGTGTTGAAATAAAGAACATGCACTCTGATGTCAAAATTTGAAAAGGTTCGGGGAAACAATATGTGTAACAAAAAGAAAAATGAAATATAACATGAAATGTATAGATTTGGAACATTACTTATCTAGCTTAGAATCTGGAAAGGGAACCAATTGATAGACGCAAGCGCTGCATGCTGAGCCAAAGAGCTTTGGATTTGTACTAATTAGAAAACTAGTAATACCAAATAAGCAATTGATCAGTGAAATATGCATCAAGCTGATTCCACACAAATATTATTATTAAAACACTAGGCCACCAGACACAGAGCCCAGCTAAGTTAAAGGACCGAAAGTCTCATTGTAATCCTTCCTCGGTGCAATTGCCGTTCGGCATTGACAATAGGAATGCCAATAATTTTACTAATGAAAGTTATATGAGTAATCAGAGACAGTCAGAGTTACGCCTCAGAGGTGAGTACGCAACTCCATTAAAGCTGGGAAACTTAACAAAGCTACAAAGTATACACACACTCACATGGCGTATACTTGGTGCATATATATACATACACATGCTATATATTCTCTTTTCTGATCTATTGCAGATCGCATGTTACATTTTTGCTGTTTATCAAATAAAAATGGGAACTACTCAAAATGATACGTATGTATTTGTGTTTTATCAAACAACTCTTCGCTCGCTCGATCTACTCTGTTTTTCACTCTCTCTCACTCTCTCTCTCTCTCTGTCTCTCTCTCTGGTATCGTACTCACCTCTGTATAGTAACTATATCCAGAAGCTAGATGTGTCTGTTGTGCTTAACATTTCGACCAGCTCTACTCTCTATGTATGAGAGCTAAGTACCCTAGTCATATATGTAACTGCGCTCGTCTTCTAGACCCTAAATACTTTGCTACCCCTGCTTCATGTAGGTTCCGTCTTTCCAAATTTGAGCACTGAGAAGGCTAAACAGGAACTTTTTGATACCCGAAGATATTTTCGGACTCTACAGATTCTAAGACAAAAATCGAAGCTATCAATAATTTTAATAAATGCTAAGTAAACTCAATAAAATAAATAACATTAATGAAAGTTCTGAGATGCATTTCAACGCAAATAATAAAATATTAAACCAGTCAGAAGCACGGGCTGGAGCAGAGCGCGGAGTGGCTAAAATGTTTCTCCTTTGCCTGTTTTAGTTTCCCAATTCCAAGGCACTAGTCTTTTAAAATAAAACTAGGAGACGTAAGGTTTGTCGCGACACAGTTTGAGACATTGGGAAAGTTTTAAAATTTAATGAATAGATATACTCAAATTAAAAAGAAGAGTTTCAAGTCTGTAAATTGATATTTCGTAGGATCTGTATACACTTTTTTCAATGTCATATACAAATTTATTCCTTTAGGCTCATTTTAATAATTTTAGCTAAATTTCAAGACGATTGCTCAAGTAGTCAATAATTAATATTTAGAATGACCCCCCTTATCTTTATACCCTGAACCTATTGAAAATGGGAAATCAGGGTATAACGTAGCATGCAGAAGGATGCGTGGCAGACCCCACAAAGTATATATATTCTTGATCAGGGCGACGAGCTGAGTCTTTTTGGCCCTGTTCGTCTTTCTTTCCGTCCGTCTGTCCGTATGTATGTACGCGTCGATTTTAGAAGATATAAGAGCTAGAGACTTGAAATTTTTTTTTAAATGTCCGTATATAGTTTATCACTAAAAATCGATGACTCATCCCGTTACTTTTTTATCGATAAAACCAGTTATAAAATTATATCTCCTACACCTTTAACGCTAGCGTCTCAAAATTTTGTATGTATACTTATATGCATTTTATACAATTTCGGGTTTTGTTAAAATTTACCCCCACCCCTATATTCACATCTCACCCCTATGTCTGTAAAAAGCGTATTTCAAATACTAGAGACTTGTGCTTTGGCAAATACATGCATATCTATATATAATCTATAATGAAGATAGTGCATCCAAGAGAAAAGTTATAAAGCAATTAAGTTCCCACAGTAAGCCACCACTGCAGCCAATGTTTATGCGTGGCTGCTTGTGTGTGTATATGCAAGCGTATGTGTGTGTGTGTGTGTGTGTGTGTGCGTGTGCGTGTGCGAAAGACGCGAAAAATTATTGAAATAGTTATTGCTCGAAGGGTTCAGTAGATCTCGTAGTCGAGCAGTCTCGACTCGGCTTTATAATAATATAGTGTTTCCGGGCGTCATAATACTCAAAATACTCAGATCACGTGTGTATAGTTCAATTTTACACAACTAATACAAACACTTTACGAATATCAGTTTCACCCTCACACACTTTGCTCAGAGATTAACTCCCATTTTGTCGATGTTTGCCTTATTATTATTTTGTTGAATTTGATAGCATATATATATATAT